AGTGCATGTATAGTGAGCAACAGTGCATGTATAGTGAGCAACAGTGCATGTATAGTGGGCAACAGTGCATGTATAGTGGGCAACAGTGCATGTATAGTGAGCAACAGTGCATGTATAGTGAGCAACAGTGCATGTATAGTGGGCAACAGTGCATGTTTAGTGGGCAACAGTGCATGTTTAGTGGGCAACAGTGCATGTTTAGTGGGCAACAGTGCATGTTTAGTGGGCAACAGTGCATGTTTAGTGGGCAACAGTGCATGTTTAGTGGGCAACAGTGCATGTTTAGTGGGCAACAGTGCATGTATAGTGGGCAACAGTGCATGTATAGTGGTCAACAGTGTATGTATAGTGGGCAACAGTACATATATACTGAGCAGCAGTGCATGTATAGTGGGCAACATTGCATGTATAGTTGGCTACAGTGCATGTATAGTGGGCAACAGTGCATGTATAGTGGGCAACAGTGCATGTATAGTGGGCAACAGTGCATGTATAGTGGGCAACAGTGCATGTGTAGTGGGCAACAGTGCATGTGTAGTGGGCAACAGTGCATGTGTAGTGGGCAACAGTGCATGTGTAGTGGGCAACAGTGCATATTTAGTGGGCAACAGTGCATGTTTAGTGGGCAACAGTGCATGTTTAGTGGGCAACAGTGCATGTTTAGTGGGCAACAGTGCATGTATAGTGGGCAACAGTGCATGTATAGTGGGCAACAGTGTATGTATAAGTGGGCAACAGTGCATGTATAGTGGGCAACAGTGCATGTATAGTGGGCAACAGTGCATGTATAGTGGGCAACAGTGCATGTATAGTGGGCAACAGTGCATGTATAGTGGGCAACAGTGCATGTATAGTGGGCAACAGTGCATGTATAGTGGGCAGCAGTGCATGTATAGTGGGCAGCAGTGCATGTGTAGAGGGCAACAGTGCATGTGAAGTGGGCAACAGTGTATGTATAGTAGGCAGCAGTGCATATATAGTGAGCAGCAGTGCATGTATAGTGGGCAACAGTGCATGTATAGTGGGCAACAGTGCATGTATAGTGGGCAACAGTGCATGTTTAGTGGGCAACAGTGCATGTATAGTGGGCAACAGTGCATGTATAGTGGGCAACAGTGCATGTATAGTGGGCAACAGTGCATGTATAGTGGGCAACAGTGAAGTATAGTGGGCAGCAGTGCATGTGTAGAGGGCAACAGTGCATGTGTAGAGGGCAACAGTGCATGTGAAGTGGGCAACAGTGTATGTATAGTAGGCAGCAGTGCATATATAGTGAGCAGCAGTGCATGTATAGTGGGCAACAGTGCATGTATAGTGGGCAACAGTGCATGTATAGTGGGCAACAGTGCATGTTTAGTGGGCAACAGTGCATGTATAATGGGCAACAGTGCATGTATAGTGGGCAACAGTGCATGTATAGTGGGCAACAGTGTATGTATAGTGGGCAACAGTGTATGTATAGTGGGCAACAGTGTATGTATAGTGGGCAACAGTGGTATGTATAGTGGGCAACAGTGCATGTATAGTGGGCAACAGTGCATGTATAGTGGGCAACAGTGCATGTATAGTGGGCAACAGTGCATGTATAGTCTTGCAAAGGTGCATGTATAGTGGGAACAGTGCATGTGTAGAGGGCAACAGTGCATGTGTAGAGGGCAACAGTGCATGTATAGTGGGCAACAGTGCATGTATAGTGGGCAACAGTGCATGTATAGTGGGCAACAGTGCATGTATAGTGGGCAACAGTGCATGTATAGTGTGCAACAGTGCATGTATAGTGGCAACAGTGCATGTATA